AGCAAGCCCTAGCTTCAACCTGAAAATGGTGGGGCCCCCCGAAGGGGTCAGTACAAGTACCAAGCGAGTAGCAGGCTAAATATAGAATAACTAGCGTTTCAAGTATAAGACTCAAACATAGGGTGATACTTATATGAATAGTCTTTTTCCCCAAGTTATGAAATACTTATTAGTATATATATACTCGGAAAATATCCGATCCGTAGATCACCATTTTATTTGGGAAAATAGTAATAGTCAATATTCTTGACTAAAAACCCCAATCCACCCATATACCTAATAGGGACAAGGGAAAATAGGACTCCTCCTTGTCCCTATTTCAATATCATAATCTATGAGTTTTGAGGATCATAATCCTTGGGTACTCCACCAATTTATATTTGAGTGTTAAGGACTTTTAGTCCTAGGGTCCTCCACCAAGTTTTTGAGTGTTAAGGACTTTTAAGTCCTAGGGTCCTCCACCAAATTTGAGTGTTAAGGACTTTTAAGTCCTAGGGTCCTCCACGAAGTTTGAGTGTTAAGGACTTTTAAGTCCTAGGGTCCTCCACCAAGTTTGAGTGTTAAGGACTTTTAAGTCCTAGGGTCCTCCACCAAGTTTGAGTGTTAAGGACTTTTAAGTCCTAGGGTCCTCCACCAAGTTTGAGTGTTAAGAACTTTAAGTCCTAGGGTCCTCCACCAAGTTTTGAGTGTTAAGTACTTTTAAGTACTAGGGTCCTCCACCAAAATATTTCCCTATGATCAACCTCCTATCAACCTAGATAGAGTCCATATCATACTTAGTCATTCATAACTAATTCAATACATAAAGCTTATGTATCACAATTCATGCAAAGCCATGCAATTATATAAATGTATAATTAAATAATATCAACCGATATTAATTAATCCATTATCCATCGGTCAACGTTGTCGTTGACCGTCATTTCAAGTCTTACACTTATTAACTTAATCATCATATAATTAAGTTAAAAGTATTCATTTGTGCTTCTTTTACACTTCAAGCAAATATGCATTTTATATAATTCCTCATATCATATTTCAAGCATAAACAATTAATTTCCTTTCATACAACTCAATCATGTTGGCTAATCACATGTTTAAATATCTTTTAAACATCATTATGAACTCATATAACATTTATTTAGGTAATCTCATAATTAACCCAAAAGTTATAAGATATTAAGCCGTCCACTCACCTTGAACTAGCGTTATGAAGTTCTACCCTTCTTGGTTGAACTCCGGTGAAACTCCGGCGACTTTTGGTTAACTCCGGCGACAATTCCGGCGACTTTTCCAACTTTGTGAAATCACTTGAAATACCCTTTACAAGTGCCTAACAAGGTTTTATAATCATAAAACCCATATTAATACAAATAACCTAAAAAAGGTTATTTTCCGGTGAACCGGTCATTTTGGCTCCAAAGTCCGTTCTTGGACTTAGAACCACTTTCCAACCCATTGTTTTACATTTATCACATGTAAAATAATCCTAGGGTTCCTCATAAAATTATCAAATAATAATACATTCAAGAATATAGGAAGAAAAGGTAATTGAAGGCATTACCTAGTTCCTTCCTCACTTTTATCACTTAAACCCCTTTCTTAAGCTTCCTTCTTGTTTGAGCTCCCTTCAAAAATGGAGAAAAGAAGGATGAGAGTTTTCTTTCTCTTGTTGCTGTAGCTTGGCCGAAAATTGAGGGGGGGAGAGGGATGAGAATGGACTTTTGTCTCATTAATCCAATGAGTGCAAAAATGAGGGTCCACCTTAGGTACTTTGATGCCTTTCCATTCAATCTCCAACACCTCCCACCTTCCTATTCTCATTCCAGCGGCCCAACCTTGGTCTTGAGTGTCTAATTTCGTGGGTTGGCCCCCACCTATGTGGGAGGTCACCCCTTTATGTCACGATGTGTACAATTGGCCCCGAAAGTTGTATTTTTCGGACTGTTTTAAATATATTTATTTTATCGGGTCAAATAAAATATATTATGTGCTCTTACTCATTATGACATGTATAATGAATATACATTCCCCAACTTTAATTTATAAGCCTCCGAAGTTCAGTTCGGGTTGTTATCTGTTAAATTACCAGTACCGGTAATTTGGGCTTCTTTTGACCAATCGGTCAACTCTGGGCCTTTCCATGGCCCAAATGAAATATCCACCACTATATATTTATTATCTAGACCAAGATGAATAAAATATATGGTCTCGGGAATGTCGGGCGGCCCCCGCTCCCGGTGTGGGCCCCACGTGCAATTTACTATTCACGCGAAAGAATTAATAAAAATTTACAACTTCATAAATTCGTAAATCATTCCATAAGGTTTATTACATCATTTACTTGAAAGTAAATACATTTGGGGACGGTGTTACAGGAGATGAAAGAGAAAGGCGAAGTGCTCATGATGGAGGTTACAAATCCGGGAATAACCAACGTATAGTTAACATTAGTGGGTACAATTACTTCAGAGAAATCGATACGTTTTTCTCTCTTTCGTGAAACTATGGCGCCAATTTAGAAACACGTCAAAGGTTTTACCATAACTAATATAAGCGCTAGAGACTGATATGAACGGAGTTATTGACTAATATGAACGAAGTTATTGAAAAGGGACCTTGGCTATTTGATCAAATTATCATTATTTTTAAGAAAACTTGAGAAAATGATATACTTTTACCAATCAGTTTTTCGGTGCAGATACATGGCATACGTGTGGGTCCCGATTCAGAATGTGGTGAGAATTAGCAACTTTGTGGGAAGGTTCATTAAAATTGATTAGAATTTGTGTTAGTTTGGATTTCGAGAAACCTCTGAAAATGAAATTGTTTTTGCAAAAGGAAGAAGGTGTTAGTTTAGTGACTCCCCTGGAGCACAATTGAGGGCATCACAAATTCACAAAGGCAGCATGAAGATGAGGAAGAAAGAGAGATTTTCAAGTGTTTATTTAATATTTTATTTTTAATTTTATTTTTTTCATTTAATTTTGGACATTTGGGACATGTAGGGTTTTTCGGGTATGTGTGTGAGGGTTACAATGAGAGGAAGTAATCAGACTAGTCTAACCGATTATCGCTTATTTTGTACACTTTGTTATTCTTATTCTAGAGGGTCTCAATTAGCAATTTAGAGCATCTCCAACCCATAGGGTGGATTGCTGCTTATGTGTACAATTAATGGAGAGGGTCTATTGAGCATGTGGTCAAAATAAATAAATTGAAGAGGGTCCATTCATTCCATGCTCCAATGCAAAAGATATCTATGTAAAAAATTAAAGTAATGATTAAATAATGGTGGCAACTCCGGTACCTTTCTAAAATATGGGGTACCGTACCTATCATTCATGTGATTGGACCACATCACTATATCATTTTTAATTTAGATTTAAATAATTCAACTGCTACATTCTCATTGGTCCATGTGGATAAAGGTATGGTACCTTATGGGCAGGGCCGGTCCTGACAAAGCAGAGACCCTGTGCAAGAGTAAAAATTGGGCCTTTTATTTAAACAACTCAAGTAAAAGATTAATATATTGTGCAATATATGGAGTATTAATTATAAATTACTACTATCGTATTGCTTTATGTCAAATTACAAAATTATTAACTCGAAAATAGGAGTCAAAATAAAATTATTTGTTAACAAATTATGCTACATTTCAAGAGAGAACTCTTTGAGCATATCATTTAATTTTAAACTGAATTATTTCTAATAATAATAATTTACTCAATATTGTGTAGTGTATTTTCCATATTTGGAATAATTTTATAAGAGAATCTCCGATGCTACAATTTGCACGGTGCACATGTGGCATGAGAGATATAGACACAAAAATTGATTTTATGACATTTCTCTCTCATTCTTTCCACGGTCTTATGTGTTTTTGGAAGGTTTTTCTCTACAATGTCAACCACAATGTCTACATCTAGACATTGTGCTTAACATTGTCAAGAAAAACTTACCAAAATGATATAAGATCCTTCAAATAAGGAGAGAGATATTTTATTTATTATTTTTTGATTGATTATCTCTCATCCCACGTATGCACCGTTGATGTTTTAGCATTGAAGATGCTCTAATAGTGATTCGTATTTGGAGCAAACATCGTTTTGATAGCAGTGAGCATTGATGACCTGGAAGCGTAAGTATTTTTGTCTTCTATTCAATTCCCACACCGGTGAAGGAAAATAATTCTCTAGCACTAATGTTTTATAAATAACGGTCTCCGTCTAAATTTTTTATTTGTGAGATCCCTAGGCTCTTAATTGGGCCGCCTGTTTCAATGCCTAAGGGTGTGCGAAGGAGTTTATAGTTTGTATGCATTTTATAACACTAGTTATAACTATATTAATAAAACTAATTTTTGGGCCTTCGAATTTTTTGGGCCCTGTGCGGTCGCACTCCCTGCACATGCTCTGGGCCGGCCGTGCTTATGGGTACGATAAAATCTACCTTAAATAATTACTCTTGTGTTGAGAAGGGAGGGTGAGACCGAAGGACCCAAAATGGACCTCCTAGCCTCCTAGGGCACTTTGTCCATTTCTCTCTCTTGCCAACTCAACATGACCTTATCTATTTCTATTTGCATTGAAGACTACATTCTTTATCAAGGTGCTCATTTGGTGATGTGGAAATGCAATGCACCGTTGCATTGGAGGTGCCCTTAGAACAGCAATAGTAACTTCAATCCCATCTACACGCCAAGCGTGTACATGAACGACTCGAAAACCCTCAAATAAGGTGTCATGGTCTCATGGAGAGTAATTTTGGTCCTTAAAAAGTGAACAGCGGAAACCACCCATTATATTCCACTTGCTCTTTTATTTCATCTTCTGTTCCATCTTTTCTTTTCATCTACAGAGTGTTTTTTTATGAATTTGCTCTTTCTTTCCCAGTGCCCTGTGCCCACCATTCTGCGTGACTTCGTGTCTCTGTTTCAAATAAGTGAACAGCTTTTTTTCCTGTTATAAATACACTGTCCCTCCTCTTGTAAAACCTCTTCCATCTCTCATATCACCATCTCCCTTAAAGATCTTATTATGTAAGCTATTATAACTATAACTACTAATCTATCTATATAACCTCATTCTTCTGCTTTCTTTTTTAAAACCCAGATGTTCTGCTCTTGCCCTGTTTTTCTTCACTGATATACTCTGTTTTTCTCCTGTCCAGCCAACCTCGCAAAAGAGGCTCTCTGGTTTTCCTTACTCTGCAGCTATCTGGGTTTTTATATTGATGCTATATTTTACCGTTACTATTATTAGTTTATTACTATTATATTATTCTTGCGTTCTTAATGTTTAAGATTCATGTCTCCTGTTCTTAGCGAAATCCTCCGTTCCGGGTTTATAATCAGTTCCTCACTCAGAAGAAGGACCCATCTTGTTCAATCTTTTTCAGTCGTCTTCCTCTACTGGTTTTATGTCTTCTCATAAACAAATCTAGACCCAACCCAAGAACCCAAACTAAGCTTTTTCTTAAAGGATACTTAACCCAAGGTTTGAACTTTGAAATCTAGTTCTCTTGTAAATAACTAAATAAAATTAAAGAAGAAGAAGAAAAATGGTTTCTTCAAGTGGGAATTCAATGGGAAACATACAGATGAATCAGATCTCAGGGTGGGAAGGAGGGGACTTGGAGGAGATGATGAAGGAGAGGAAGAGGAAGAGAATGGAGTCGAACAGAGAATCAGCGAAGCGGTCGAGGATGAGGAAGCAGAAGCATATGGATGATCTGATAGCGCAGGCCAGGCAGCTGAGGAACGAAAACACCCACATCCTTAAACACATCAATCTGGCCACAGAAAATTACCTTAACGTGGAGGCAGAGAATTCTGTTCTTAGAGCTGAGGTTATGGAGCTTGACCACAGGCTTTCATCCTTGACCGGAATGCTCAGCCTGAGCAGCAGCTATGGCGGAATCCTTGACTTCCCATCTGCTGAGATTGTTCATGAATCTGGGATTGATGGTTTCATGACTAATCATTTGTGGACGTGTCTGTTGAATCAGCCCATCATGGCCTCTCTTGATGCGATGATACAGTATTGAATATTGATTGAAATGGTCACCATCAGACCGAGTATGATATGATTTGATTTTCTAGGGGAAGTGTTGTGTGCAAGTCTTGTTGAAATGTTACTGAAATGTGTTATAAGACATCTCCAATGCTATAATGTGCACGGTGCACACGTGGCATGAGAGATGACCACATAAATATCAGTTAATTAATTTTTTCTCTCTCTTTATTTAAATGATTTTATACAGTTTTGGTAAGTTTTTCTCTACAATGTCAAAGAGACCGTCAAATGTTGACATTGCTGTTGACATTGCAGGAAAAAATTACCAAAATTATATAAAATCATTCAAATAATGAGAGAGATAATTTATTTGCTAATATTTATGTGGCTATCACTACTGCCACATGTGCACCGTGCACATTATAGCATTGAAGATGCTCTAAATGGAATAAAGGATTGTGTTTGTCAAGTAGATCAATGTTTCTTTCCCAGAATAGACGCGCATTTGGTACGCTAAATAAATTTATGGTCATGTCTCCTGTATGATGGAGAGCTTATTATATTCAATAAATTAAGTTATTTCGTCTGTAATTATTGGTTTTTTCCTATTCCTTTATTTTGGATTTTTCATAAACATTAAAAACGTCCTACTCATAAAAAGTTATATCCAATTTTATACTCCCTCCCTAACTTTTAAATCTTCCCATTTTAAAAGTATGTAGATTAAGAATAGTGAAAGATGATATGAATTATTGAGGGTATGATGGGAAAATAGTGGAATAATGTGGTGGAATGTAGGATAAATCCAAAAAAAGTAGTTGTAATAGTGTATTATTTTAAGAATTATTGAGGGTATGATGGGAAGATTTAGAAATGGGAAGATTTTTTTGTTACGGACGAAAAAGGAAAGTGGGAAGATTTTTAAGTTACGGAGGGAGTAATTTTTATGATTTTTTGTATGTGCCAATATTGCATATGAACAAATTAAGAAATACGGCTAATAATACATACTCCCTCCGTTACATTCATATCTTCTCACTTTCCTTTTTTGGTCGTAACATTTATATCTTCCCATTTCTAAATCTTCCCATCGTACCCTCAATAATTAAAAAATAATACACTATTACACCTATTTTTTGGATTTATCCTTCATTTCATCACATTATTTCACTATCTTCCCATCATACCATCAATAATTCATATCCCCTTTCACTATTCTTAATCTCACCCACTTTGGAAGTGAGAAGATATATGTGATACGGAGGGAGTATTTAGGAAAAGATTCATTTTATTTTATATCCAATATTGATATCATTGAAATAGTAAAGAGGACATATGATACAGTTGAAAAGATATACAAGTACGAGTAAAAATTATTGAATCATATACGAAATACTCCCTTCGTTCCGCTAAGATTGTTTCAGACGCTATTCACTTGGTCAACACAAATCACTCTTAATCTCTTACTTTGTAAAGTTTTTTAATATAGTTTTTTGAATATGTAATTTTTATTTCTTAAAAATAATTTGAGTGCGATCAGGGATCAGTTTGCTTTATCGTCGGGCAAGTATCGTAAACCGGATTGTACCAAACATAGTAGGATGTAGGTAGTTTCTTCTACTATCGTATAATAGATTTTTTATACCGTTCAAAAGATTCAATTTCTTTTATATCCAATATTGATACCATTGAAATAAGGAGTAGTAAAGAGTCGGGGTGGACGCGGTCCGGTCCGGTCCAATATTTGGCCAAACCCGTACCTGTACCGTGACTATTCAAACGGTTCGGTTCGGTCTTAGACCTAGACCCGTTCGGTACGGTTCCAATTTATAATGGGATGGTACCATGCCATACCAATACCAAACAATGCCACTTTTTCCAAGTGTTAAAAGGAAATTAAAGTTTAGTCATCCTTCAAAAATCCACACAATTTATCTATTTTCATACTCATTCTCTTTATTGATAATTAATTCAATTTTTAATAATTAAAATTTACATATTCAGAAACTATATTGAAATCTCTTCAAAGTTGCAAGCTTCGAATTCAATATAATTAAAATTGGCATTCTAGTTAAGTGAATAAAATGAAATTGTTTGACCAAGAAAAATTAATTTTGCAAATTAATTTGGGACGAAGGTAGTATTACATAAGTAATAAATTTCAGATAAATTATAGTAGTTCAAATTTAAATAATTAAACCATAAATCCATCCGATTCCAGACTTCCTATGAACTAGCAAAAACGGTGAAAGTGTGAAGGCATTGGTCAAAGTAATAGTATAAATGTAAATTTAAATAATTAAATCATACTCCGGTCCGGTTTGGTCTGGTACTGGTCCTCATTTTATAAGAACCCGTCATGGCATTGTTTAGAATTGGTACGGTTCGGGACAAAAAAATTGAGATCCATTTCAAACCCCGTTTTTCGATCCTGTACCATATCGGTTCGGTTCGGTACCATGCTGGTTCAGTATTTTTGCCCACCCCTAGTAAAGAGGACGTTGATATCGTTGAAAAGATAAAAAAAATTATCGAATTATAATCCCTCCGTCCCCTTAACTTTGTTCTGTTTTACTTTTTTCGTCCGTCTCATTAAGTTTGTCACATATCATATTTGGTTATATATGAGTGATTAGAATTCATTCTTATTTTATTCACAATTTATCAATTTAGAGGGTGTTTGGAACTAATTCTTCTTCTGCTTCTTTTTTAAAGCAGAAACAGAATCAGAATCAGTTTTCAGAAGGTGGTCTCCCCTAACTTCTAAAAAAACTGATTCTAGGAGTAAATTAGAGCACCAGAATCACTTCTGCACTTTCACCCAAACACTCCAACTTCTGTTTCTGCTCCCTGAAAGAGTAGAATCAGTTTTAAGAATCAGATCCAAACACCTCCTTAATATCAATCACACAATTCTACTTTTTCTTAAAAATCACACCATATTCCTTTGTCCGAAATTTAGGGGGACGGAGATATTATATGTTTTTTTTATAAAAAATGAAGCACAAATAAAAAATGATAACAATTTTGAAAATAGTAACAATGACAAATTGTAGCTAGGGAAGGGAATGGGTGATGTTCACCCACGTGAACAAAATGGGACTCCTCAAGTCCTGTAATTCAGATGCGAGTTAAACTTTTGTTAATGGATTAGACGAGTAGCAGTGAATAGTTACTTTCGGTAACATCTAATTGAGGTGAAAAGTTATTCTTTAAAAAGCTTGGTAAAAACATTTGTTATGAGGGTTAAACTGATTATTAATACGGAATACTCCGTATTAAGAGTAGCTGTTTTCCATTTGATAGCGTGCTCTGCGTCTCTGGCTCTCTGCAGTCTGCATATTTAAACGTAAAAATTATTTTAAATCATGAAAAATGCTTGGTGTACACAAAATGTGTATACCTTTTTGTACACTTGTCTGTCCCAGGCAGACAAGTTGACTGTCTCAGACAACTCATATATGAATTGTCTGTGACAGACAACTTGTTTGCCTGGGACAGACAAGTGTACAAAAAAGGTGTACACATTTTGTGTACACCTAGCAAAACCCTTAAATCATACTTCATATGAGGTATGACACATATGGAGTATATCAATAGTAAATTCTAGGGAAATATTATACGTAATAAAGTTCAATTGTTCTACGGAGTAATTGGTAACAAACATTATACGGAGTATAAAGTTCAATTTTAATACTATGATATACGTAGTATTTACTATTTGAATGTATAACCAAAGTTATCACTAGCCACTTTGAATTACAAATCATCAAAATTTATTTCATGACTTAATATAAGTTTTTGATGAAAAAAATTATACGATTGTAGTTTGAAAACAATTGTATATTACCTCTGTCATACTATGTTTGAGACAATTTGATTTACAATATTTGACCGACGATAAAGCAATCACTTATCCTTATTCAAGTTAATTATTTCGATTTTTTAACAGATGGTTGAAATACATTTCAAATCTATAATGTTGTTTTGCTGAACGTAAAAGTAGTGTTTTTAATTTATGGAAGGCACAATGGATTGAACTTTTTGAACGGGTCTAACGATCAAGTCTTTGACAAATCACCAATACTCCATTTTTTTTGCTCTAATTCCTCTAGTTTCCAAGTAGTCCAAATTTAACGAACATGTGTGATTTAGTGCATGCTCAAAGTAGACTGCATTTGATTAGTGAAGCAACTCATACTGCATGTGTGATTTGGGTTGGCTAATTTACTCATCTCTTCCACGATGTTTTAGAACCAAATCTAGAAGCATTTCCAGATTATACAAGTTGATTCGTTTTCTAGAGTTCTTCCATTTAGCTGCCTCCGGATTTAATTTGTACAAAAAATGACTATTATTTCAAATGAAATGAAATTTCCTCATTTTAATTCTCAATTACATTTCTTAGTTTAATCTGAACTGGTGTAGTCTAGTCTGATAGTCATCTGATCTTTGTGTATTTTATAATTATAGAAGTCTGATTTGATCTGTTTAAGTCTGGTCTAATCTTGTTTGATCTGGGACTGAAAAGTAAAACCACCATAAGAAACAATATAAATGTTGAAATTTGCTTACTTATTACTATGAGTAAATGTATGTTAACTTCAAACAACATTGGTCACATTTCAATTTTTTTTAAGTAAAACCGAACCAAAGCAATAAATATTCTTAGCTTTATTTCAGCATTGTTTCTATTCCAAAGATCTTTCTTAATCAGTAAACCTTGGCCAAATCAGTGGGGTTGAGGGGAGTTAAACCTTGGCCATAGTAGTACATTTACTTTATTTCTTGTCTTCGTATTTTAGATATACGATAGTATAAGGAAAAACTATCATTGACATTTCTGAGGTTTGTCATATATTACTAACATTTCTAGTTTCTACCATTTGAGAAAGAGACATTGACCTCTTTGAGTTCATATGCTAATGTAAATGTTCTACTTAGGATGTTTACACTTATAATGGTTTCACAGGTCACATTGGATTGGACTAGAATATGATCAAATCTGATCAAATTTAAATACATCATACTATAGTAGAATAAGATTTAGACACTGCTTTTGGAGTGTAATAGGGGGGTTCGCCATTTAGGCTACCACATTTGTGTATTATACATATTCATGTAAGGTAGTAACTACCTGAGCCATATGGGATACTTTTTGACCTTATTCAGTAAAAGTGGCTCATATCGGCACCATAGGTTTTCAAACGGTCTCTTATTAGGTGCAGTTTGGATAACAGCAGATGGAGCAAACCGCTAATCAATTATAACATCAAAACGCTGCAAAATGCAGTGGTTTGCTACCCACCCACTGAAAAACAAACGAAGCCTTAATCTTGTTAGATTTCGATGAGTCTCATCTTAATTCTCAAGTGTCTGCATAAAAGGGCAAGCCCTGACGATATAGTTGTGATCATCTAAACAGTTTTATGCTACATTTGCTTTATACAATTATACATATTGCATCATAGACTATAATTGCACATGTTGTCATACTACTCCTCAAAGTGCAATCGAGTCACCTTGGTTTGACAATCAGCCCCTGTTTCACTGTCTCCACAATTTTAAGTATTACCATAAGTAAATAAATATTTTCGTTTTGTGTTTTCTAATTTTGTGGATCTCATAAGTATCCATATGTGCAAATCCTAGTAAGATGAGATATGCTGCAATACATCAGAATCATTTATCACATTCTAATATATAGTGTAGTATTTGTTTTAATGTCATTTTTCACATGACATGCCAAATAGTTCAAGTATTATTGGCCAAAGGGTTAAACTGTTAAAGCTACAATAGCACGTACTGAAGTAATGCACTTAAAGAATAATTATTTCTTCATCTTCACGGATGAGAAGGAACATCATACATAGAGATATCAAATCACCATTGGGATTTGGGACGTTAAAGGATAACTTGTAAGTTCTATCAATGCAAAATCTATTTAAAACCTTCTCGACCGTCGACACAACTAATGGATATATTCAAATGTTTAATTTGAAGTCTCGGGCAATTTTCTCTCTCAAAATCGTTTACTTTTGAATTTTCTCATGAAATACTTTGTAATATTTTCTATTTCACCGGTAGTTTCAGTGATATTCAAACCATCAACACACAACACAATTATGTTCAATCCTGATTTCCGATCCACCGGCGAATGAAAAAAATGAATATATTGAGTTATTTTTAGGAAAAATTGAAAATAATAATCCCAACTATTGCTGGTCCGCTGATAATAATCCCAACTATTGATTATTTTTGTATAATCCCAACTATATGGACCATCCGCCAATAATGGTCCATGAATAGATATTACCTCCTATAAAAAGTGAATTTTAAATAGAAATTAGGCGTAAAATTAAAAGTTGCGATTATTTATAGGGATTACTTGTTATATCTCTTCTCATCCACCTTAGAAACTGCGAAAATTTATTTATAGGGAGCATTATTAGCGGAAGGTCCCTAAAGTTGGGATTATTCTGAAATAATCGATAGTTGGGATTATTATGGGCGGACCATCAATAGTTGGGATTATTACTATCAATTTTTCCTTATTTTTATGTCATTTTTTTTATATTATATGAAAATACTTAAAAAGTTAAATTATTTAACTTTAAAAACACTATCAATACATTGTCTTCCTTAAATTTTTATGGTAAAAATACATTGTACTTCAAATTTTACAAAAATATATTAAAAGTCATAAGTTTCTATGACCTTTTATGTGATATCAATATTACATACATAATTATTTTTAAACATCCCACGTTCAACTCTGCTAGAGCTTGGATTTTTTTAATCTATGGTGTCTCCACAAACGACCGAACTATACATGATCTTATTTTATTTTTAGCATCAAAAAGTGTGTATTTTAATTTCATAATTATCAAAAATAAAGTCAAAGAAAAAAATTGCTTATAATAATTTAATTAATATTTTACTAAACTCATATGTCAAAAAATATGTTGAATGTATTTTATTAACTACACTAGAATGTAGAGGAAAATGGTATTAGCGAGGAGTCTATACTTCCTAGAAGTAATTCTAATTTTACTCTAAACTAGTGTACAATTATCCATCAATAACCCTAGCCTTTTGGCTTTGTTTTTCTTTTTCCCAATATTTTATGGGGCTCAAACAAGCAATAAGATACATTTGGAATCCATTTTCAAATAGGCCATAAGAATGTCTAGGGATCCAAATGTAAAGATATATGTTTAATGCGTCAAACCCTCTCATGATATACAAATTTTGCGCTCATTAATTTCTTATAATTTAAAGATACGTCAAACACACTTGTGTGTTATAATTACTCGCACACAAAACACCTTTAAACAACAAATTTTAGTTGTCTTCAAATAGCGTGTCATAGTTTTATGATCAACTATGCACCTAAATATTTCAAGATAATTATGTTGTATAAAAAATTAATCATTTTTTTAATTTAACAATTAAACTACGATAAAAAAATTAACAATTAAACTTTTCATCTAGTGTATTCACTGCATAAATAATCACAATTGATATATGTTTGACTTAAATACATTCTTAGTCCGTGTAAATATGATGCACTTTGTATTACGTTCGTGCATTTTTTTCATCTCTGTAATATATACTGTTTTGTTTCTAGTCTACTTCTAATTCTGTACTCACTCTATATAAGAAAAAAATTATTGTCAGTTGTATAAAACTACTTGAAACTTTTAAATTAGTCCTTTTATAATTTTTTTGAGTTGAACATGAGAGTTAAAACAATGTGAAACTACTCATTCACATTTTTTAAATATTTATTAAAACCTTCTAAAAAATAAAATTAAATACTCTTGACATAACATGACAAAGAATTGGAGGAGACCTATTATATTAGTCGGGGTTGTTTCATTGTCGAATATAGATTGTTATCATCAGTGATTGATTAAGAGCCCATTTGGTAACACTAGAATCGGCTGATTCTGCTGAAGTGGTTGTATGAAATGATATTGCTGATTTATGAAAAAAAAATTATATTTAAAATATATTTTATTAATAAACAGAAGAAAAAATTATATGCGAAAATAGCAAAAATGATTATTTATAGTAACTTTAGCCAATATAGCCAGAAAAGTAACTCCGACATTACTTTTCATATTACTCGGGGTATTACATAATTCAGTGGACGAAATCAAAAGTTAAGTGTTTGGTTAAAAATTTGATTGATGACGTGATAACCGAAAAAAGAGTCACCAAATAGATTCTAAAAAGATTACCACTATAAATCAACAAATTGTATCATGTTTAAAATATTGATCTTCCAAGTTCCAACCATGTTTTGAAACATCATCTTTTAACGGAAAGTTCTACCAAACTAATAAGATCTTTTTTTCTAATTGCCCGAGCAAGAAAACCTTTGCAAAACTTAACCCAGTGTTAATAATCAGAACAAACTGTTAATCATCTCAACTGCAGATTTAAACTTCACGCAAAAAAAGGGAGGAGAGGATGTTGTCATTCCACTGCAGAATATGTGATAGCAGCAGCTTGTTTAGTTATAGTCGATTCTTCTGAAGCGTCTGCAAACTCCTTTCTGTACAGTTCTTCTATCATAGGCTTCCATAGCCGAACTCGAGCATTTATAAACCAGTTTGACACCTTAAACAGCATTTTCATACCCACAAAACCACATTTCAAAAAAGTTTCAATCTTTAGCAAAAAAAAAAGCCAAACTCATAATGAAGATTACCTGATTCTTTGTCAAGCCTGTCTGTGACGCCAACATCAGCTTTTCCAAATCATCCGGATATCTTAAAAGAAAAACAAACCACTACTCACTAAATCATTTCATGAACCCAAAAATATACGGAGTATAGATTAATGAAATAATAATAACAAAAATAATATGATTAGTACGGGTGAAGAAAGTGTTCAAATAGCCAAGCACGAAGAATGGCCACAGAAGTCCCTGGAAGCCCTCTAATTTGCCCCCATGATTGCCTCAAGCTTTGTACAGCCCCAAGCTGTTGAAGAAACACCCTCTGAATCCTAACCTCTTTTGTGTCAAACTTCTGCGTTTTATCTTCTGATATTTCTCCCACTACCTTCTTTATCTGAGAAAAGATAGCTTCCCTCAAGTTGCAGAAATGTCTAGACATGGCTTGAAGTGCAAGTGCAGTGTATGACTTCCCTGCTCCTACTCCGGCTATCGCCTCAAATGAAGTCACTATCTCTTCCATTTCATGATAATATTTCTCATATCCGCTTTCCACCTGAAAATATACCCATGTTACACAAAAGTTCCATATGAAAATAAAGATATTTTCTTCATTGATGAAAATACCCCTTCAAGCAAAGCAATCAGCTCCACAATTTTATCGTTATCCAGAAACTCAACACTGAGAACAGAACGGAGCCGGAAAGATCCTTTCTTGCCGTGGCGTGATAGTCTCTTGATGTACTTTTCACTGCAACCGGAATGTGAAGGCTTTTCAGCAAGACTAACCATTTCGTGAAGAAGTAACTGTGCAGGCCTTAAATATTTCGACTGAGTTAAGAAAGATTCACCAGTTCCAGAAAAGATGGATATTGAACTGGTTGGGGAAGAAGAGATACAACCACACATACCCATCTGGTTGACAAAAGCTGGGTTTATGGCACTGGTGATTTGGTTTAGTGATGTTTGCCAAGGTGGTGAGAGTTTCTGGGCTCTAAGCAGATCATCCATGACATGTCTAGTGTGAGTTATTTGAGGTTGACCAAAAGAATGAAAGCCTAGACCGTGTGGTTGACCAGTCATGGAGTATGAAGTGGTAAACTGATGTAGAATACTGGGTTCTTGATGTGAATTCTGAGAAACCATTGTCAAAGACTTGAAGGATGCCAAAAATATTGTCAGGGATGAAAACAGATTTGATTTTTGACACGAAAAACTAATCAAGAATCATAAAAGTGATTAAACCCCTTTTTGAGATTCTTAGAAAACGAAGGCAGAGAGAATATGCACATCTATCTTTCAAGATAGCTTGGCTAGAAGTAGTGTGTGATGTATACATACAAACATATGCATATATACACATACATGAGCCTGCCATGTTTAAATTTTTGTACAAACAATCATACCTTGACCTGATAATCAGTTCATTCATTCGAGACTAAAGAAAGAAAGAAAAGATTCCATTGTTTACTTTTATTTTTCCAATCCTTACCACAACCTATAAGTCTAGCAAGGAAGCTATGAAGCCTATGCGAAAATGCTGAAAATGAGGACGAAAGTTATGGCCCCCCTAACACCACCACCCTCGAACCCTCCCTCAGCTTTAAATTCTATACATAGTTACAAACTAAATATCTTTGGGACACTCAAAAAGCACTTTCAGGCTCCAGCATTATCGTACTGTCAACCCACAGAGGCTACAGTTGAAAGAAGTTAAATAAAGCACAGAAAGATGACATTAATGTGGTATATGTGTGCTGCAGAAGGGGTTTCTGCCGCTCTGGAGGGAAAGAAAAAGAAAGTGAAAAAAAGTATGCTGCCATTTTTGGCACACATATATTTTTTCTCTCTTTTTTGTAAGATTGTCTGCTTGTGATTTGTGAATCTGCAAATGTAGATTGTCTGTGCTGGGAATCGTAAACATGTGAGAGGGTATATTTTTAAAATTTATCTGTTGCTGGCATACTTGGAATTTCGAAAGGACACTAAAATCTAGATGAACTTCTCCTCAAGAAATACATCTACAAACTGTATTTTTTTATAGTTTTTTACCTTTGTTGTTTAGGGTTGTTAAGTGGTGAAAAGATTAAAACTTTATTACATGAAATGACGGTTTTAATGGGACCCACGATTGACATGAGTTGAAATGTAGAATGGTAGTTATTAGTGTCAACACATGAAAATGTTTTAATTTAATGATTACCACATTTGTATCTGTTCGGCCTAGCAGTTGTCACTCACTCCTTTGTGATTGAGAGCTGCCTGATGGAGGGGGTAAAAAATCATCTTTTTTTACCTTAGGCATGATTCTGGATTCTGGGTAGCAAGAAAGTAGATTTCAACTTTTAGAAATATGGCTTTTAATAAACATATTTTTATACAACATCAGATTGAGGTTCAGAAGTTGTAGCATGCAAGAAGATACTGACAAACTGATAAGTTATAGAAAGAAAGAAGATGTGTACCACATATGTAGAAAGAAATTAAAGAAAGCTGCGAACTTTTCTGCAAAATTCAAATCTTTTATTGCCCCACAGTCAAACAAAATATGCTACAGTAGTGTATTAGTATTTCACGTATACACTTAGCTATTGCTATGCCAAGGTAAACTATATCAATGTTTGTGTTTAAAGATAATATAAACTACAAGAATGCTTCTTATCACCCCATTTAGCAGAACAAACAATCCATATCATGATGAAAAATAACTTCATCTTTGGATCAGCTTTAATTAGCAGCTTGTAATTGTTATGAAGAACTTGTGAGGTTTGCCTCGGTATTGCCGACCTCCTCCTTGTACATCTCTTCAATCATGGGTTTCCAAAGGCGGACACGTGCATTAATGAACCAGTTCGCCACCTAGTCCAAAATTTACCCTCATTAATATGTTCCAAAAAGGGAAGATAAAGCAACATTTGATAAACCGTAATGTAGTGTAATCGAATATGTTTAATGATCATTGACATTATACATGCATTTGAACAACCAATTATGGGCGCTAAACGGAGCATAAGCTCAAGTAATTGTGTCCTTGTTTACGTACCTGGCTTCTTGTTAAGCCTGTTTGTCTCGCAAGTGTCACTTTCTCTGTCTCTTTTGGGTACCTGACAAAAAACACAAAACAGTGTCATAAGCAATGGAACTCGTATGGGGAGTTTCTTTAGGTGAATAGAAAAGAAAACTCCTGATACTAGTTTCAATGTGCCTCATTGTTTATTGGGATAAGGGTCAGATAGGGCCTCGAACTTGAAAAAAAATGTCAAATAAGGCCATATTTAGGATGCTCTGTCCGGCCGACGCCATTTGGGGCAGTTCCTGATAGAATTTTTTGATGAATTTTTTTGAGAATCTTATTCATTAAGTCTAGTTTACTCATATCAAATTTGAACTAAAACTTCAATCGGGAAGGCATTTAAATGAATTCTTGAAGATAACTGTGCAGTTAAAAGCGTAGTTATCTTCAAGAATTCATTTGAATGTCTTCCCGATTGAACTGTTAGTTCAAATTTGATATGAGTAAACTAGACTTAATGAATAAGATTCTCAAAAAAAATCATCAAAAAATTTCACCGGGAACCGCCCCAAATGGCGTCAACCGGACATAGCATCCTAAATATGGCCTTATTTGACATTTTTTTCCAAGTTCGAGGCCCTATCTGACCCTTATCCCTTGTTTATTCTAATATATGCCACTGTAAAGTCAAATGTGTATGTTTTAGAACACAGGGGGGGAATTAAAATGTCAAGTATTAAGGACCTAAGGTAAATCATGGAGTGCAAGTCTAGTAGCAAACATACGGGTGGAGGAAATGTTCAAAGAGCCAAGCACGGAGTATAGAAACAGCATTTTCAGGCAAGCCTCTAAGTGGCCTCCAAGGTTGTCTCATCACACTAAATTGCTGAAGCAATTTTTGTTGCCTCAGCTTGTGATCCACTTGACGGAGCCGATAAAACCTTTTTCCTCCTTGGCTAGTATTGCTAACATCATCACCACCACCACCTTGACCCTCCCCTCGGGTAGCCTGAATCTGCTTCTTGATTGCATCACAAATGCAACGGAATTGGCGGGAAATGGTTTCGAGGGAAAGTGATGTGTATGGTCTAGCAGCACCGCTCCCAGCCACCATCTCAAAGGATGATACTAAAATTTGCATCTGTTCATAATATTGTTTGTATGACATGTCCACCTATGCACACATAAACACGTTTATTATGCTAAAAGCATTAGTTAATACACTGGGCCAAGGAGATCTATAGATTCTAAGGGCGTGTTTGACACATGGAGCTGAATAGCTGATAGGTCAGTGGCTAGGAGCTAAAAGCTAACGTCTAGCTATTAAGTAACTGATTTAATAAAAGGAAACTCCTTATATCAATTATCAATGGGAAAAGAAATCGGTTGTCATGGGAAAAGAAAAGTTACGAGCTTATTTCTAATAAGTTATCGAAGACATGCTGCATTGGATCAAATACACCCTTAAAATGATCCTCAAGAGATGAGGTTTATGGACACTTTAATACGCCCTTAGCCCAAATAGGTCTGAAAAACGTACGGCACTTTGGCACTTTAACACTCCTCTAAATGAAAATTTGAGGTGGATATATGGGCCAAACTGCCCCAATACCCCATACTGGCTATCCAAACCATGATGTCAAACAAACACAATTACAGTGGACTTGGATACTTCTAAATTGGACCTAACTTGCCGTAGTATGATTCTGAAAAGTGGAGGCTTGCTCCATAAACACAAATCTTGTAAAGATCAGATCTGGGATAGTTTTAACAATATGGAGTTTCAAATAAGAGTTTTCTTGTTTACCAAACGGAGATGATAACTTTACTTGGAGCTTAAAATAAGCCATAAGCTCCACAATAACTTCTGAGAACACCAGCTAAATCTAATAAGTACTACCTCAAGAATAACATAGGAACATTTACCCCACCTTATTTAGCATCCACAAGAGCTTGTTCATCTTGTTATCTAGATCACATTGTTTTGCAGATGATATATCCGGTGCACAGCTGGATGACATCATAAGAGCAGAAGCCTCCTCTTCAGACAAATTTTCAGCAAATGAATAAAAAATGTACTGTCTGTCCGGTTGTTTTGTTGTAGCGGATGATGATTGGACGTTAACAATCTCGTCAAGTAAATCCTGTGCAGCCTTTAGATATTTGGAATCATAAATGTCAGTTGCTTCATGTATGCGTGTGCTAATAAAATCCATCTGTCTGAGGTTGTCAATGGCACCAGATTTGCCAGCTGAATCAAACGACAAGTATTCAACATTTTTATTTTCATTGTAGTATGAGCCACCCTGAAACTGGTGGTCATCACGGTATGATGATGGAACTTGCATGACCAAGCTGAGAGATAGTTGTCGTCCGTTTTCATACTGCTCATTATCGAAAGTGTCGGAAGGCTCCTCAATGGAAGAAGCAGCGTGAGGATCTGTGCTATTGGGGGTAACATTCATCATCAGAAGATCAGACGGATGATGTGGCATTAGTGGGAGTGGAGAGTCTCTTTCGTTACTGGTCGAACCCCATGAATAATAAGTCGCCATATTACTTTGACTTCCCACTATTCCACCTCTCTCAAACTTGTAAACACAACATATTCCAATTTTCTCCTACAAGTGAGGTGATCAACCTGTAAAGGGAGGAAAGGAGGTAGGGAGTCAGCTAACATGTTAGACTCACCATCATCCAAAGAAACACAAGATTTGTCAAGGTCTGTCTGGAGTCTGGACCCGGGGGATTGAAGGTATTTCAGGCAATATAAAGCACTATTACCATTTATACAGCTCTTGACAGCAACATAGTTACTAATTATGCTAGGAACAAAGAAAATTGAAGTGAAAGATTTGGAGATTATTATTGATGTGCAAAAACATCCATCCTTTGAGTGAGTGATGATGTTAGAGCATAGTTTTACTCATATGATTACACTACTTTTGTTGTTGTGGTTGTAGTGATCATCATCATCATTATCATCATCATATATAGTACATTTCATCACAGCAATTCTCCACAATATCCAATACAATTTTAACTACCAGAACACCCACAAAAGAAAAAAGCATTACCTTCATGAAGTGAAACAACATGATAGAACCTTAGCAAACATTTAAAAAGAGTACCTGGAAAGAAAACTTAACTGTAACTAATTAAAGCAGAAGCTTTTCCATGTAGACCCTTAGCTGATCCGCAAACATCCTAGGAAAACAGCTTACTCTTCTTTATCATCTGAACTATCCCACCATCAGCGGGCCAGCTGATGCATTGCAAAAAGGACTATTCTTACTGTCTTATCATTAACACATAGCTATGAAAGAGCTGATATTCAAACAACTAAAACAATCAAGTGTCAACTCTTCCATTCCATTCTTCAACCCAATTACGAGTGAAGTATTATTATATTCTCCATCAACTATTTCAAACCTCCTGTCTTGAGGTGGGTCCAGGACGGAAGACCCAAAGAACACACAAAGCCAAGTGTTGGTTCGTTTTGTTTTGAAGAAAAAATGAAGAAAAAAGAAAACTCCATAAATGGAAAAAGCCAAGAGAAGTTAATGAATGGACAAAGGTAGAGGGGTTGGTGCTTTGTTTGTTCCCTTTACTTTTTTGGGCATTTTGGTGGCGTGTGTGCTGGGGGTGGGGCTGATGGTTTAAGGGTCTGAATCCGCAACCACCGGTTGGTAGACCTAAACAAAGCGGTGGAAAATTCATTTTAATATGAACACAGAAATTTAGAATTCCGTTTTAACCTTTGTTGGCTTACGAGCTAATTTTTTATGGAACAGTAGAAGAGAGTTTTTCTTTTTGTTTTTGAACAAGCTAAGATATTACGTATAGAAAACTTAAGAGCCCGTTATTAGTATATTATCAATACAAGAAACAAAATTGTAAGTATGACAAACGTGTGAGAATTCTTAAAAAGTTTTTGGACTGCTTTATGATAGTGTAAAGTTGTTTTTTTCAATTACCAAGCCTTCTAGATTTTGATTGATGTAACCCGAATGCGACATGATGTGATAAAAATGATTTTTTAAGGTGCACTCAATCCTGAACAGTGAACACCCTCTTGTTAAGATAAGACAAAGTATGTTACCTTGTTAACATAAGACAAAGGGCGTTGCAAAATTTAATAAAAATCTTTGAATTGTACGTAGTGTATAATAAGAGTATATAAAAAAATAAAAATCCACTGTAATTTGATATTTCTGGGTAACAAATCCAGCGATATTCCATATTCTGACCTATATAAAACAGCATTGCCGACCACCAAAGTATTCTTGGTTGCTTGACCTTAATATTCTACAAGAACTGTATCTTTAATGCGGGGTTCTGCATCACAGGATAGGACTGTACACATTATAGGTCCTTGGTGGATAATATATTTCCCATGAAAGTCAGAGGGAGGAATGAAATTACCAAAAACTACTGCTTCAAAAAAAAAAGTCAGAGCTATAGGGAACAAAATCACGATGGGTATAAACGCTGTTTGAATCAGAAGTGGACTATTTTGCCTAGACCATGCATTGTGGACTCCCAAAAGAATATTTCCTTCTACAACAGCTGTATGCAGAAGGTAGACCCGTCCAGGCTTTCTGTAATCAATGCCAGCTGAATAATATATTGAACAAGCACACCTATAGTCCAACACATTCTCTTTCTTTCTTTCTTTCTTTCTTTTCTGTACAGGGTCATGAAGCTGGATCATCATCATCATCCTCGGATTCAAGTTGCTTACCGAATTTCCTAAGTGCAAGAGAATATATTGCTTTTCTTTTCAGAGACTTGCAGGTTGCCACCATCTTCACTGCCTGCCCTCCAATCATTCATCAAATCACATAAGAATGAACTGAACTCCATATCATAACCAGAAAACGCTTGCACGATATCAATTTATTTACAAGAATAGCATGCAAATACGCAGCAATTAGTTTTTTCCGTGCGAGTAATTAAGAGAAAAAAGGCAGTTAATTTGCACGATCAACCACATGCAGAAATACTATTGAAATGCAATGATAATTGAACCAGTATATAAGAACAGGCTACTCCTGATATTAGGTTAATCTTTTAGGATTAAATCTTAAGTGCTAATATGGTGCAAAAATCAGGTCTGGCACCCCATGATATAGAGTAGGAATTTAAGGCTTGTTTAGCCCACTATCCTAGTATAATACTCTGTGTTTCTATCAAGTTTACTTTTTTACATGCAAGTATAAAACAAAAAAAAAAACTTTTACTCCACACTTTCAGTGACCATGATTCTGTTTTCAGAGTGACTAAAGTGACTACAATGATGATTTCACAGTGACTTTAGTGACCAATGGTGTTTCGACCGTGACTCTAGTGACCATGTTGGTAGCTTTCAGAATAACTATAGTGATCATGCACTCATATTTTGGTCTACAAGTTGTGTTTTAGTAATATTATTAGAGAGGAATAACAAGTACTCATATTTTGGTCTATGAGTTGTGTTTTAGTAATATTATTAGAGGAATAACACGAAGAAAGAGGGGAAAAGTACCATTGAAAGTGTGTTGCCTTTTGATATAAGCTCTCTCAATTCATTCTCCAATTCGGACTCCGATGGAGCGTCATCTGTACTAGGTGATTTTCCTTCAAGCAAGAAGGTGATTTCACCCTTAGGTTGGCGTGTTGAAAAAGCTTCTTTGGCTTGGCCTATACTACCATGCCAAAACTAAATCCATTCCATCCATAAAGGAACTTCTCAGAATATGATCCATATGCCCAAAATATAAATAGGTTGGAAATAGGTTGGAATTCACTATTGGCGGGTTTACAATACCGTACCTCCTCATATATTTTAGTCATTTCACGTGCTATGACACACCGCCTGCAAGAATGCTACATATTTTAAGAAATAATGACAAATATATGCAAAGTAACCTTTATGCAAATAATTAGACCTCTTGTCTAATATATGCAAAAATATTGGACAAAAATGTAACCTTTACAGTGCAATGATTATGCTGACATTTTCACATTGACTACCATGTTAATATTCAATTTTGCACCACAATGACCATGTGGGTATTTTCACAGACAACAACCGTATTCATATATTTGCCATTGAACACTATTATGTTATATTATATGAATTTCCCTATTTTTAACTCAAAAAAATGCAGCTCTAACTCTACCTCCAAAGCTTTTCACAATATCTTACCTAGAATCACCAAATATCGAAGAAGTCTCTTCAAGAAAATGGCAAAGCTTGTGAGGTGGAACATAGAAAATCTGAGTTGCCGCCTCATTTGAAGAAATCGTCAGTCTCTCTCTCCTAGAACCAGCATGTTTTGGGAGAAATCCAACTGATGCATTTAGATGCTAAAAAAACATCAGATGCCATAACAACACCGCCACTAAAGTTTGCCTAGACAAATCACACATGTTTGCCAGTCGTCATTACCAAATGTGAACTCGTTAGTAGGTAAGCCAGAGGCCGATAGAGCAGTTATGAGGGCAGAAGGACCAGGGATAGGAATCACTGGTATATTCATCTCCACACATAATTTTGCCTGCACAGGAAACAAAAAAGGCATACCTTTAGGGTATATTTGGATCATGACAAATGCTGAGGGAATGAAATAAATGATAAGGGAAGTTGTCTTCTTAAGTTTCTGTTTAGCTTGGAAATCACAAAAGAAAACGAAATATGATAAAAAGTAATCATATATTTTAAGATTTCTTAGTCTATATATAAGAGAAATATATAAATAAATCAAATGAGTTTGAAAGAAAAGTATCTTAAATAAAAGCTAACCAGTTCTGCACCAGGATTTAGTCTGTTCCTTATCATTCCCCAAAATTTATTTCCTCCCCAATAGTATCATCAAGTTAAAGTGTCTCATTAAAGAAAAGAAAAGATTACCAGTTCTGCACCAGGATCACTAATGCCCGGAGTTCCAGCATCACTGATCAATGCCACAACTTGACCTTCTCCAAGTCTTTTTAACACAGATTGCTCCCTCTGAGATTCGTTGAATTTGTGATAGGTAAGCTGAAAATATAAAGCTCACCATCACAATTTTTTTATATTTATTCACAAACATCAACATATCGGGATGCATAATAGAAGAAATAGCGCTGATGTCACTCACAAGAGGAGTCTTAATATTGTAATGCTGTAGCAACTTCCCTGAATGCCTTGTATCTTCAGAAAGTATCACATTTGCAGAATTTAAAACTCTCAAAGCTCTGCAAAGGTGATTCATTATTCAATATTGGATATTTTGCTTATATTAACATGAACCAATCTTCATGACCACAAGGAAAAAAGAAAACGATTAACAAAAAAAAGATTATTGAATATTGGCCAATTGATGGTACCTGAGAGTAATATCTTCAAGATTCCCAATAGGTGTTCCTACCAGATATAAACCTGGCTTCAAGGGTTTCTAAGAGATGGCAAAATTTTTCAATTTTTGTCAAAGATAGCATTTTGAGTTAACTCAACACTGATTCTTTCCTTTTTTAAATGCATTTTTAACATTTTTGTTTAGCTCAAAGCACTAAAAAAAAGGGTCAAGTAATAAGAACATTGAATCCGAGTGCAAATAAGAGGGTGAAATCATCAATCATCTTACTTGCTTTGATTCCGAGGGTACGAGGTCGGGCACAGCTGACGAGTCGGTGGAGTAGAGGGCAAGACTGTCGGAAGTTGAGGCGGTGCAAATAACTGAAGATTGGTTTCCGGCAGTAAGAAATCTCGCGAGTAAAGGAAGGGGGCATCGAAAGCATTTCCTGGGAAAAGCGAAGATAGGCACAGCGGAGGAGGTTGTCGCGGAGGATAACATCATCGAAAAGCCGCGAATTAGCATTCTTTCCTCCGAATTGGTGAACGGAAATCTTTGCAGGGGTAAACGGTAAACCGATAGACGGAAGCATTTTGTTTTTGAATACATTATGCTTTTGACACAAATATTCCGGAGACCCGTCAGGACTCCTCCATTTGGGGGGCCCGGTGGTATTTTTTGTTCAAAATTTTTATATATGTTTCAGCAAAAAATTTAATCGTGAAGGTCTTCAAATGATTTTTTCAAGTTAACTGGTCCGGAATATGTATTTTCCGGACCAGTTAACTTGCAAAAATCATTTGACAATCTTCCCGATTGAATCTTTTTCTCAAATTTGGTATGGATGAACTAGACTTGATAAGGAACATACACAAAAATTTTGAGCAAAAAATACCACCAGAAAGGCCCCAAATGGAGGAGGCCGGACGGGGCTCCTGTCCGGAATCTCCGGACAAGAATAGCTCTCATGCTTTTGATACTGTGGCTTTTAGATCAATTCCATATTTAGTTGGGAAAAGAGGCAAATAAGCCCTCGAACTAACAAAGAAAATGCAAATCACCCCTTGTATAGAAGGCTCTGTCCGGCCGTCGCCATTTGGGGAGGTTCCCGTTGAATTTTTTGATGAAATGTTTTTAGCATCTTCTTCATTAAGTCTAGTTTACTCATACCAAATTTCAGATACAAATTCAATCGGGGAAGGCAGTTAAATGAATTTTTGAAGATAACAACGCAGTTAAACAGCGCAGTATATTTCAGAAAATCATTTGACTAACTTTTCAGTTTTATTTTTAGCTGAAATTTGTTATGGGTAAACTAGACTTAATGAAAAAGATGCTCAAAAACTTTCATCAAAAAATTCCAGTGGGAACCGCTCCAAATGGCGACGACCGGACAAAATATCCTATATATGGGGTGATTTGCACTTTTTTTATTAGTTCGATGGTTTATTTGCCCCTCTTCCCTATTTAGTTCATATCTTTTACTTTGTCGTGACTATTTGGTTTTCGCTCATAGAGAACTCTTCTTGTCAGGCCGGCCTAACGGGAACCTCCGTCCGGCCGAGCCCGTTTGGGCACCTTCCCGGTGGAAGTTTTTGATGAAATTTTTTGAGCATGTTTCTCATCAAGTCTAGTTTGTCCATACCAAATTTCAGCTCAAAATGCGATCGGGAAGGCATTCAAACCTTTTTTTGAAGTTGACTGCGTTTTTATATGTATATTTTGACGCAGTCAACTTCAAAAAAAGATTTGAATGCCTTCCCGGTCGAATTTTGAGCTGCAATTTTGGTATGGACAAACTAGACTTGATGAGAAACATGCTCAAAAAATTTCATCAAAACATTCCACCGGGAAGGTCGCCAAAAGGGCTCGGCCGGACGGCTCTCCCGGTCAGGCCGGCCTGACATGATGATTTCTCTCTCTTCGCTCATACTCCCTCCGTCCCGTTGGAATGTTCTCGTTCACTATTCATTGGTCAACTTAGGTCACTCCTAATGTTTTACTTTATATATCAAATTTTTATCAAATTGAACTTTTCTTGATCTGGATTTGTAGCGGTTTTAATGTAGTTTCTGAATATATAAATTTTGTTTACTAAAAATAAGCGGAGTGTGAACAGGGATCGAGTTGTTTTATTGTCAGTCAAGCATCGTAAACCGAACGGGAACATTCCAACGGGACGGAGGGAGTATATGATAACAACTAACTATTCCTGACATAATTACAATAAAAGATAATGTGTGAAGCTCTCTTTACATGTGGTTGGGTGTTAAATTAACTAAACAAATAGAAGCCGGTGAAACACAAAGTAAAATGATCCTTACTCTTCTTTTGCATCATATGCTAAGAGGTTGAAGTTATTGTATTGGAGAAACAATGCATTACTCTCACCATCTTGGCATCTTTCACTAATGCAAGTTTGATTATACTAGGGAAATTAAATTATACTGTAAAAAATAAAACCAATCAAAACATGTGATGTAAAGATGTTTTATTTTGGACTGAAATTTGTTGGTCTGGTCTGATAAACGTTTGGTCTCTACGTATTTTATAACTACGGAAGTCTGATCTGGTCTGATCTGATCTGATCTAGGACTGAAAACAGTCCTAATTTGTGTCGCCGGAGATCATGTTATGTATTATCTTTATCGTACGAAACGGTGCTATTTAGTTGTAGAATGTAACAATATTTACATTTGCTACATGTTGCAAAAAAATGTACATTTGCTACATGTTAATCTAATACCTTATCATGTTTAAACTACTTTTAATTGGACGGATTATCGTTGCTAACTCAGGGTATGTTTGGAGTTTGAAGGGAAGGCGAGAGAAAAGTTTTGAAGGTTAGTTATTGCAAGGAAGTGGAGGGAAAGGGGAAGAAATCCTTCTTATTTGGAAGCAACAAATTTTATTAAAAGAGAAAAATTATTAATGAGTTATAGTTATCACATATATGATGAATTCAAATACTTGAATTATATTGATTTTAAATTGAGCTGAAGTAAGTGAAGTTGTGATTTAATTAGTTATCCTTCAAAATCCCCCAATTTGGAAAAAGTTGAAAATGAAGCATTTGAAGGGTTTAAACTCCCAAACATGAAAGGGAGCATTATTAACCCTTGTCAACCTTCCCTCCCCTCCAAAACTCAACTCCCAAACATAGCCTTAGAGATCTACGGTGTTCCTTGCTCCCTAACTTCATTAATACTACGTTGTATTTATATCTCATCAGAAAAATGATTAGAACTAAGAAAATCAAGTGATGAGTGGGTAATCAGTTATAATGACATTATTGAGTTATTAATCAGTTAACGTTCCTTATAAATGATTCAATTCTCAATAATAATTTTTTTTTAATATCATTAAAAAGAACTTGTATATGGCTATCTTTTTATTCATTAAGAAACTGTTAAGAAAATCAAGTGATGAGTGGGTAGGCTAAAAGTATTGGCTAAGAAGGGTCAGAGTTTAAGAAAAATATTTTGTGGGGCTAAATCTTAATATGTCAACACATATATTTTCATAACTTATGCATATTTGTATTTTGTATACGCACATATATATAAAAAATGTACTAGACTAGAAAAAATTGGGGGCCAAGAGCCCCTTCACTCCATCCATTGCTCCACCAGTACATTAATGAAATTGATGTTCTTGTAAGTTGTCTGTTGTCACATACATTCATTCATTAAATGATTCTACGTATTTAACTAATTCCTATCGCTAATGTTGAACGCTTTGATTTCCTTGTTCTCCTTGCAAATGCCATTGGCATCCACTGATCCACCCAACTTCTAATATAATACTCCGTAATACGGAGTATCTATTATAAGCACAACAATTAAAATAAAACACTCCCGCAGTCCCTCGGAACCTATATAAAGAGCATGTTTGCTTTTTCACACATTTTTATGAAGAACACTATTTGCCACTGTTTGACACTGTTTTATTTGTCAAAAAGGGAAATGTGTCTTTTATATAGGGATGACCCAAAAAAGAAAATGTACTCTTTATATAGAGACAGAGGGAGTACTAAGTAGCAAAGAGGTAATAACTAATCATTCCACCCACAATATTTGCAGTAGAAGTTGATAAGTTCCTTACATTAAATACAGTTTATCTTTGCACAATTAATCTCTTTTGCTAATGCAAGTTTGATTCTTTAGGAAAATTTTACTCCAAAAAGTAAAAGCAACCGAATCTTTAATTATCTGTTACATATTAGTCTAATACTCTTTTAAGTTTAGAATATTGTTGTTGCTACCTTCTAGATTTAGAATATTCCTTGCTACCTGATTCTATTCCACCATCGGTATTTTATTTATTAACCAAATTTAGAGTCCGTCAATCTATTTAATTAATCATTTAATCTATTGAAAATGTTTAAATTATGACTGAAATGAAAACTTATATTTAAATTATATTTTATCAATAAAACAGATAATGAATATGTAAAAAAATCATACTTCGTATTCAGCAAAGTCATTATAAATTTAACTTGAGCCTTACATGTTTTTGGTTATTGGTGAAAAAATTGATTGATGAAGCTAATAAAAAGAAAAAAGTGATACTAAACAGAATTTGAATGTGTATACATTTTGTTAAGTTGTCAATTTTATGCTTGAAATTTTGTGTTTGACCTTTTTTTTTTACAGATACACCCATTTCAGTAATCAATTGACTTAAACTTGAGTTTGACTTGTAATTTATTACGGAGTGTTATTTTAACTTTGGATGTTTTAATGTAGCCAAAATTTAACTATATATGGTCTAGCCGTCTAGGTGGATAATCTTGTTTTCTCGCATAGCAACTCTAGATTATTTTATATGAATGGACATATATTTACTGTTTCCTTTTTAAAAAGATCCCAAGTCCCCAGGACCCCAACGGAATGCTAAATTGTAACTCACGTGTATTTTGTGCATGGTTAATTATAAGAGTGGATCTTGTTGTGCATGGTTATTCAAATCCGAGACCTCCTATAAGGGAGAGTGAGTCGATGACCAGCTGAGCTGGACCGCTTCCTCTACACCATATGTTTTAATACAATCTTATTTAGAGAATTTTTCTACAATAGAACTCAAAATATGGCATTATCACTACAGTACAGTTACCGAGAAAGTACAATGTAAAACTGCCCCAATCACTACATTCAATACAAAAAAATACGAAGTAACTATGATTAATTTTTTAAAAGAGAACTGTTATATTAAGTCAAATTTTCTGTTCTTGATTTTTTACTTAAGTATATACTAGGTATTAGTCAATATTTCTATTTATGATATAAAGTTTTAAGATTACAACGGAGTACTATTTAAATCCCTTGGGAAATTCTGATTGCAGTCTTCAGTCATTGAAGCAATTTTCATGGTTCAATCTCAAACATATCAACACTTATCAATAGGTTCTTGTAACTGTACGATGCAATTATGAATAATTACAAAATGGAGTAAACTCCAATTTTTCTTTTTTATTTACTTGGAGAATGGAGAAACATGATTTCCATAGAGCAAAACAGTACTAGTAGTTTTTAGTTTAAAGCGGGGTATAACTTGCAGAGATGGAGGGGGTAATAGCTTTTTGGTAAATTTGGGGAGAAAATAGGCATT